ACACACACACACACACGGACTGTAATTCATCTGTGGATGACGGGGCCAATGACTCCATTTTTTTTGCACACATTCTGGATTTATAAAAGAAGAAATATTTCACTGTTACAAATGAAAAGCTCTATTAATAAGCAATGAAACACACCATCGCTCAGTTCAGTACACTGTCAGGTTTTAGTGATACAGCAGTTACACTTGGCAGTAACATGCGACCTGAATCTCAGTATCAAAACAAGAACAAGCTCATGTTGATGCAAAGCAGCAGAGAAAGAGGAAGCAGGATCACACTGACCGCACCACGAACCATAAGAATCAGCCCGAGAACTGATCCTTTTCATTATCCACATAATGTATCCAGATCATGGATGTATGGAGGGGGAACTGGATACAACATTGGAAGCAGAGCTCCGTTCATCCCTCTGAAAGCTGCTCAGTGCTGCATGAAATCCAAAAAGTTCTATTTCAGGGTATAGAATTACCCACCCACCAGAGACTCCCACCAGCCCCGCTAGTTTCTGGTTTAGCCCCCCGCTAAGTACGATCGGGGCAAAATGATTTCATTGTGTGGCTCTTCTAGAGGACACATTACATCGTCTTGCTTTAAACGCTGGCAATAACTCATGCTGACTGACTGATTGGCTGCCTGTTGCTAAGGAGGTTTAGGAGGCATGACCGGATTTTTTGCAAAAGTGGTTAAATATTATAATATAATTAGTATATTATAATATTATTTTGCCAAAATACCTGTGTTTGGGATATAATGACTTATGTTGAGCGAGTACTGAACGAACTGTTTGATACGTTTGAGCGGACGTTTTTATAGGGCTTTGTGGCTTTTGAGTCATTTGTGTTTAATTTTAGAAACACTGTTCAATGGTTGGATGAAAACATTTTTTTCTATAAAAGAAGAAAAGATGAACAGCACACAGTGACTGTAGAAGATGCTCTTTCATCTTTTGCTTTGCCTCCTGTTTTTGTCCTCCTGGATGAATATTTGGCTCGAGACAAAAGGTGAACTAATCAATTATTCCTCTTGCAGGGCCCTGGTGGTGTTGTTGAAAAGCGTTGACATTTGAGCTTTCCAGACGACATCTGCAAATTTATATGCCTGGCATTGTGTGAGGCAGCCAGCCCTGTATCAAAGGCTGTAAAAGGCCTTGTCAATTTAGTAAGGACAACTCTACAAAGACTCCTTTCTCCTCTGTTGTTATGGGAATAATGCTTTTCACTGGTGTCCTGCCAAAACCTGTTGGCAATCTGGCCATGTCATATTATTGATTGCATTGATAACAGACATCGAACATGGAAACCGTCAAACTGTCTGTTGTGCATTGTGAAAGAAACTAATAACAAGTCTTTATAGAGGCTTTACAGTGAATACACCTACATTGTAAAACTGTGTATATTTATTTCTGTGGTTGTGGGCTTCATCAAGGCCTTAAACAACTATAGGCTCATTTAAATGGGCACATTTGCCACCGTTTATGTGGATGTCTGATCAGTGTTGAGTCGAATGAAGCTATACATTCCTCAGTGCACGCTTTATTGATTGAGAAAGCAGAGTTCTCCAGCTGCAAAATGTGTCTTTCATTTTTCACTACAGGATATTTCAGCCTGGATTTCTAGTCTCCACCTCTGGGTAGGCAGGGGGCATCGCTGAAGCCACTCGAGAACAAACATGGCCTTTCTCACGTCCTGATGGTTGGAAAGAGCACATTAGAGCCCTGGAGCTCCGCTGCTAAAGGTCCAGAAATACAATCCCACAGGAGGAAGTAGCCTGTTTGAGCTGCTTTGAGTTTCACCTTGAGAATATGTTTGTAACTATGTGCAGAAGCAACCGTTGACTTCTTTTAAATAAATTATTCACGTTATTGTTTCACTACTCTGTTGCAGCATTTCATCAGTTCTTAGTATGTCAAAACCTGTAAATTAAGTTAAATTAAGACAATTAAAATAGTCTGAATAATCCTGAATAATCTATAATGATTCTGAGGTCATTTTGACGTTCGTCGTTGATTATCTGCTCTAGCTTTTCCAACTTCATGGTAATAGGCATAATAATGATCCAAAATGGTGTGAAATTGCACATTTTGTATTGAAAAAGTGGTTTTGTTTTATTAAAACTATGAACCTTTAAGATACTCTGACGTGTGTGAATACGGGCTGGTGTCACATGCCTGACAGCATGCACAACAACACTGCTGCTGAAACAACTTCTAAGGGAAAACACTGCAGTGTGTAGCATTTAGTGTTGTACTTGCATGTTGCAACTCCCTCGCTTCACCAGCTTCACCTTCCAAGGAGAAACCACAGTGGTCCTGACACGCGTGAAAACAGGAATTGTTACCATTAAAAGAATAGCTCCACACTTGGTTTTAGAAGCTGGAAAAACACACACTGACTGGCATATAAAAGAGTAAAGCCTGCAGGAACCTATAGTTAAAAGGTCCTTACTCTTAAAACAAAATAAAACAAGGATGGGTTGCAACCCATAAAACCAAGAGAAGAAAAGCAAGCAGCTAGCAGACCTTCTGCACAGGCCACAGTCACTGACACACAAACAGTAGAAGACCAAGAAGTACAAGTAAAGTCAGAGAAACTATAATGCTTCACAGCCTCGGCGGGCTCTGTCTCGTGTCATTTAAGAACAGGAAAACCCTAAACAACGACAACAACAACAACAACAACAAGATGTGACTATATATAATAATAATAATAGACACACGCCACTGCGGGACATTTTAACCAGCAAGAAGACAAACATACAGAGACAGACAGACATTATCTGACTCACATTTGTAGTCGAAGTCCATTCACTTTTCTTTAATGGAGATGAAAGTGTCCACTGATGTCCAGCTGCACTTTGACAGTCACTTTGTTTGTTTGTTGACGGGGATCTTCATGTCCCTCGCTCATCTAAAAGCTTGTTACTGAATCATTAGCCACACTGGCGAAACTAGAACTACTTGTTGTTTTATTTACTATAACTCTAATGGTTGTTGTTTTTAATTATTCTAAATGTTAAAGTCTGTTGTCAGGGTATGACAGGCTTCACAGTTCACTGTAGTTTCTTCTCCAGCGACGTGTCCGTTCAGTTTCGCAGTGGCTGTTTGTTTGATACTAAACTATATTTTAATCAAGGGATACCAACTTTCACCTGGCGCCCCTTCGGCAGGCTTCATTAAGGGTGCAATATTCTTTTTGACCACACACTGGCTGACCTTTACCCCGCATTACAACCCAGAGGGGCGCTGTTTCACCCATTTGTTTTTGGAGAGAATGGCCTCAAATATGAGTTTGAACCATATCCCAAACTGCTCTTCATTTAGTACCATTTCTGTCTTTCATAAACAGTCAAATTTAGTAAGTTTAGTTTTTTTTTTACCAATGATTAGCATGTGTGCTCATATTATTACTTTTGACTTAAACTATATTCATTTATTTATAAAAGGTAAAGAAGAATCCCTAGTTTGAACCTTGTTATGGTCGAAACCGGTCTTTTTAATAATAAAAAGTGCTTTGTTCAACTACTACCTTTCATACATGTCACTAAATGTTGGTATAACTAGAGATAAATAGGTCTGCTAGAGACATGAGATTCAACTGTTTGATTTAACATTTTATTCACAGACAGACGGGTGAAATAAATAGAGGGGGGATGATTCTTGTCATAGTTACTACTGTAATCACCTTCATCACCTTAACATTGGAACACACATTACATTTACATCAGTCACTTTCAGTTAAATACATAAGTTAGAGTCAATAATGAAATACTGTATAACATGGCTTACATTAGTGTGGTTTCATTTCAGTAATATTTCACTTGTGGGTGAAGTTTTTATGCTTAATAACTTTAGCATAAAGGAAATATACTTCTCCCCAAGGCACGTCTTCTGACGCTCATGAGAAATATGCTGCTTTTCTGTACAAATCAGCTTCAGTGTGATCAAACAGGTCAAGTAAAAAATAAGTGTTACAAATCAAAACCAGTTGTTTAGAGTAAAAACACAATCACAAATATAAAAATAAGAAATCATTCTACAATAAGTTGCATATAGACATCATAAAAATCATAATAAAACCCATCAACATTTTCCACTGTTGTATTGCTTGGACTTTGGTCTTGAAGCAGTAAGAGCAGCGAGCTGACTCAGTATATTTTGTTTGGCTCCTAAAAGACGGAAGTTAAATAAAGATCAGTGATTATATCTGTCAGTCAGTTTAAAACTGGACTCTGGCCTCTCATTTCCTCTGCAAACCTCGCAGCTTCTAACAGACGGGTGTGCATATTGTATTAAAATTTTAATATAAACTCAAAAGGCTATTTAGTGTCATTATTATTATGATAATGTTTAAGTCATTGCTGATTTATTAAGTGGGCTGCATTTAAGATTTCCCTTCATTCTGGGCTTTTACATTAGGAGTTTTTATTACTTTTATACTGCATTATGCATATATCATCCTATGCATGGCAACAGGACATGATGAATTTAAAGGTGCAGTAAGCAGTTATCTCCTGATTGGATAAAGAGGGAACAGGACACTAGAAAATGTATTCTCTGTTTACTGCAGAAAGGAGGGACTGGGTGACCCATGTTACTGACTGAACTCTCTACATCAGTGATGGCTATCAGAATGTAGAGTTTATTTTAACAAAACAAATATTGCTTATAGCTCCTTTAATGTTTTTGATTGTATCTCACCTCATACAGTTATTGTAGGTGAGCCCTGGTAGCTCACCTGGTGAAGCTAGCAACCATGTACCAAGGCTGAGTCCATGCTGCAGCAGCCATGGGTTCAATTCCAAGCAATTCAGCTGTAACTAACAATAAAAGCCTACAAATATTTTTAAATAAATAATTGTTTGTCCTTCTGGCAATCGTTTATCTATGTCAAGCTGAAGCAAAAGTAGTGACAGTAGGTCCACAAGTTTAAAAAGAGTTAAACATATATAAACTCAACTTTCCTGATTTTTCTTAAGTGTTGAACAACTCAAGGACTGTTAGCGGTGAAACACGTACATTCAGCTGCTGTTTCACCATGAAACTTCCAAGAACCTATTTCTAAATGACAAAGAAAAAGGGTGTTTGTGGGCAGTGTGAATTTCAAAACAAATTGCACAGCAGCTCTGTTGTTAGAATCCTTGTACTGCTGCCAGACCATTTTTCTGAAATAACTGATTTAGCAGCAATACTGTGTTTGTTATCTACACATATTTTACTGTTACAGCTGTAGCTTTGGGCAGACATGTAGAAGGATTAAAAAGCTTATTGGCCTCTCACTTTCCCTGCTTCATATACACATTTACAGAGCATCACATTTGACTACATCATTCTAAATCAAGTTTCCTACACCTTTAAACATAGCTTGGAATGTCAATCTGCAAGAATATGAAATTATAAATAAAAGTTAATGTGAAGATGAAACCTTTAACTCCCTGATGGTCATATTAATTCCTGAGGAAAATCTCCCTCCAGCGTCCCTTTAACTGATTTCCTAGTAACTACACATTGTGTGTTGTTTTTGATTTGATAATCTCACATACTATCATTTACCCTTCAATTCATTAAAGAAGATTGTTCTCAAAAGTCAATTTATCTTTAGCTTTAGCATCCAAACAATTACTTGTATGCAGACGTGGAAGAACAGTCCCACCAGTACCAAGGAATAAATCAACTAGATTCTCAGATTTTGTCCATGTCTCTGGTCCACCTCATTTGTAGTTTATTCCTCTGGGTTTAAAGCTTAGTAAAACACAAAAAAATATTCCAAAAATCTAAATAATCACTGGCCAGAAATCTACATATCCATTTATCAAACAATGTAGTGGATCAAGAAAATAATATGGTGGTCTGTCACAAAATGATAATCTGCAACTGACTTTCATTTCATCCTGTAAAACACAAGGTCACTTACAAGTGCTGGTAAATTTAAGTTTAAAATGTAACTGAGAGTCCTACACTTTGTATTTATTTTATTATAACAAATAAACCAACTTTATAGTTTGTTGGACTGTCAATAATATTTATCATAAAATAGAGTTTTAAAGGTGACTTTTATAACAATATGATTTGATGACAAAATTTGCTGCTAATGAAAAAGTTTTCAAGTTTCAATGAGGACTTTCACATACAGCTCTGATATCGCTGACATATATCAACCCTATGTAGCGTTCTTATTCATGCATCAAGCCAGTCAATAAAATACTGTCCTTGCAATGGTGACAGCTTATGCAAATAGGCATAAGCAGGAATGGAAGATAAATACACAGGTAAATGAAAAACAACAACGATTGGTTTGACAGTGCTCCAAAGAAGGCAAAAAAAAGTAAAGGAGCACAGATGTCGTCATGCCTACCAGCTAATTTGGCTTCACAGCTTTACGGTCAGTTGGGATGGCTTTGCTGATGGCTGGCAGGCATTTTCTCTTGGTCCACAGATTGGTACGCAGGTCACTGAGAAGGTCGAAGCGAGTGAAAACGGTGAAGACATGATGGGGTGTTGGCGGCCTCCGTTCACACAGGTTGAACAACAGTTCAAAGGTCAGTTGGTCATTTAAGAGAAGAGACGTTGGTCTCATCCACATATTGATCTCAGAGGTTAGTCTCATCCCAGGTTGGGTCGTTCATGTTCTTCAGAACTCTCCTGACAATCCTCTCCAGCTCTTTCCTCGCTCGCTGCTCCTCCTCCAGCGTCCTCTTAATCCTCTTGTTGTCCTGGAGGAGTGAGACAAAGAAAGATGGGCAAGAGAGGAGAGAAAAATGGAGGGGTGAGAGAGAGAGAGAAAGAAACAAGTGCTAGTTATGTTTAACAGGTGTTTTGATAACCTGCTTGTACTGTGTCTGTTGAAAGTGTTTTTTGTTTTTTTGTTGTAAATATGTTCCCATATTTACAACAAAAAACACTTTTGTCATCATTGACTTGAATATGATATTTTTTGCATTTCTAATCTCACTCCCCCATTTTCCCCTCAGACTGGGTCAGTAAAGCTCAATATAGCCGATACCAATCATATAAAAAAATCATCGGCCCAACACCACTCACTGAGATTGGATCTATAGAGTGGGACATCTGGTCAGGAAATTGATTATATCAGGATGTCTGGGTCAGTAATCAATTAAAAAAACTGCAAACTCACCTGCTTGAGTTCCTGGACCTCATCTTTCAGACTGTACACAGTGTCCACCAGACTCCTGCAGGAAAAGGACAGCTCTGCTTTATACACTAGCTGCAGCCTGATACAGACAGTAAATCATTACACATATTCACTGTAACTCCATATATATTTAATTTTTATATAGTATTTTTTTTATTTTGTTTAGTGCATATAATATCCACTGCTTGTTTTCTATGTTCCATTTTTACACGTGGCACCTCCTGCTTACATGCTGTGACTGCCCACAAGTCATCATTTGATATTTTGTAGTCATTTCTACCTACTGTGTGCTTGTGTTGAATGAATGGTTTTGTTGTGTGTTCAGTTTCCACTATTTTCTATATTTGTATTAGTAGCTGCAACCTTTTATTCTCTGCTGCAGCAATTCTTTGTCCCCACAGGGACCACTATCAAAGCCTAACCTATAAACGTTAGTACACAAGTACTACATACACAAAAACACACCTTCATCTCTCCTCTCTCACCTCTCCTCCACTACAGTTTGTCCATTGCTCCTGGTTTCCTCCACTATGATCTTCTCCTCCTCTGGGAACAACATGTGTACATCCTTCCTGCTGGAGCCTGATTGAACAGTGACAGCAGTATAACTTATTACCCCGGCACAATGCACATACACATACACATGTACACTAACATTTAGTTTAACTGGTAAACACAGAACACAGAAAGAGGAAGACACTAATGGGGTACCTTACAAACTACAAGTGAGAAACCATCAGATGTCATTTTAACAATTTGCTGATGTAAAATGTCACGTTCGCCACTTTGGACCAAAAAACTGTAGCTAAAAGAGGAGGACTGTTCTTATGAACTGAGGAAGAAAAGCATGTCATGATAGCATGACACAGCAGAATAGGTAATATGTCTCAATGATGTATGAGTATATTTATTTCCTAGGAGGGGGTGTTTTTAGCCATACAGTATGTACAGCCTGTACATCGCTCTATATTTTTCCTGCATGCAGCAAAAATGGTGGTAAACACGTTCATTTTGTAATCGATTAATTGTTCATCAGTCATTTTTTAAGCATAAATGGCAAAAATGCACTGGTTCCAGCTTCTCAAATGTTAATATTTTCTAGGGCTGTGTATTGGCAAGACTGTGGCAATACGATACGTATCACAATACAGGGGTTACGATCCACGCCACAGGAGCCGGTTTAATTCTTCAGATTCAGCCATCGGTGGTGTGCCCCCTCCCTGTTATTTGTGTTTATGCTGGCGATATGTGTGTCTTTTGGTCTCAGTTCACATTGTTTCGTTGGAGTGGAAGGGTCAAAAGGCTGAAGATAGATTACAGCACAGCTATCTATCTTCAAATCTTGGCATGTTAATTATTAATAAAAAATGTACATTGTTTTTGAGAATCGCTACAGTACTACAAAACATAATATAGCGATATTCAAGCGTATCGATATACACTTAATAATAATAGATCAAACAGTTTATCAGTTAATTGAGAAAATAACAAGTAGATTAGTCAATAATGAAAGTAATCTATAGTTGCAGCCCTAAACAACATCAGAAGAACAAAGTAACTTGTATGTGCTAATGTATGGTTCCCTCACTCTCTGCTGTTGTGCCTATCAACCTCACTGTTACTGTACGTATCCACTTGGTTGTTTTGTTTGGATGCAGTTAAATATACTGTACTAGGGGGTATATGCTTACTGAAGCTACTGTATGCTCATGGGAATGCACACGGGCTCATATATATACAATACATACAAAGACAAATACTAAGTATGCAAAATATACAGTGGATACATACACACACACACACACACACACACAGCAGGTGAAAGGCTGGGACGATAATTGTAAGCTAGCTGGTTGACATGGCTGACATGTCAGTGGGTTGCGACACCGATATCTTACGAGAAAATGAGGCAGTCCTGTAACTAGTGGCAGTCCAGATACTGTCATAATCCGAGTCCTCTGACTGGTCAGAACAAGGCAGGTTGCCGGGGAAACCGGCGACGGTGAGGCTGGTGTCAGCGAGCACATGGTTATGCATGAGGTCAGTCCCTTGCCAGGCTGTACCGTGAAGTGACCAGCAATAGAGTGGGTTTGAACAAACCAAATTGAATGTTGGGGGGATGAGGGGAGGAGTACAAATCATATTGGATAAAGGATGAGGGTTTGGGGCAAACCATATTGTAATTGTGGACGTATAAAAAAAATGTAAAAAAAAAAAAAAATGTAAAAAGGAAAATGTTTTTGTTGGATAAATCATGTTAAATTTAATAGAACAGGAGTAAGACACAGAATAAAAGCGAGGATGGCGGTGATGAAACCAACCAAAAGCATTTGGATGGAAGTAGTTAATGAAAAAAACAATGTGTGGAGGAAGAGGAAAGCAGAGGAATGCAGGAGAGACATAAAAAGAGAGGAGAGAGAAAAATATTGTTAGACAGCAGAGAACAAACAGTGGTTAGCAAAAAGACCTCTAGCAGTGTGTGAGCATGCTAATGTGTCTGGTGTGTGTGTGTGTGTGTGTGTGTGTACTCACTGGAGTTGAGAGTCTGTCGTGTCTTGGCGCTGGTACAGTAGGCCTCAATCACTTTCAGTATCTGAGCGTCCTCCTCTAGAGCTGCTGTACCTGAAAGACGGGGCAGAAGGACTGGTGAGATGGAGAGAAGAAAGTGTTCAAGTCTTCCTAAATTATGCAAACAGTGGGCTTTTTTTAGCAACACAGCCTCTGTCAGACATACTGAAGATCTGAAGTTCTTTGCAACGTTGGAAAACAACCGTCTGCAGCTGTGACTACGATTCAGCAGTAAGGAATAAACAATACAAATGGAACTTGACTTGAGATCAACTCCATATATTATCCTTAAATCCTTTGTTTTCACTGTGGACATATGTAATTTGGTATTTAGTTTGTTAGCAAATATTTTGTTTTTTTAATTGTTAAACTTAATGAAAATCAAGTTAAGTTACTTATGACCAATAATGTTAAATAAATAATAAAGACATAAATCAAAGACAGATAATTTGTGACTGTCTTATTTTTGCTAGTAACATTTCAGCTGTAATTGCAGCTATTTTTTGCAGTTTCTGGTACTTGATAGCAGACAGATTAATAGGTGTATTATTTGAAATAAAGGAACTGACATCATAACTTGACATTTACCAATTAAGTAAGGAAAGTCTGTATAGAGGCAATAGAGACACCTGTGCATCATGTTGCATATATGAAAAAAAAACGTTCTACAGGTAAGAGTGTGAGAGTGGTGGAATAATTTTAGTTCATTTACTTTTTCTGACAGTGAAGTCCTCTTCTGAAGGTTTCCTCTCTGGCTTCCTCTTCGGTAGCAGCTTCTTCATGTTCTTAGGACTCTTGCTCATATCCTACAAACAAAAACACAGAAACATGTACAGTAGGAATGTAGTTACAATCCCAATTTAACAATCTTACACATTACTCCACTGGGATAAGGGCAAGTCAATGAATTTGGAAAAAATGAAAAGCATCCTCAAGGACCCTGGAGGTCACCAGATCCCACTTTGATCAACACATATAGTATAACATAGTATAAGTATGGTCCTGGCTCATTTAAGTATGCCAGTGTACAGCACCTCCTTCTGGCAGAGAGCAGCCGAGGGCCGGAGTGGAGGCGCAGGACGAAGGCAGCTCAGGCTCCAGGGTTTGGGGGTACTCGGTGGCTCCAGGGGCCCCCACATTGGGCTGCCGCTGTGGGCCGTCCCATATGAAGAGGGGTGGGGAAGGGTGTGGTAGGTGTGTCCAATGCTCCCTCCACGAGACTCTGAGTGTCTGGAGGGAGTGGCAGGGTGAGAGGGCAACTGGGAGAAGCAGAGGAGAGGTAAAAGAAAGGAGGAGGCAGGTGAAGTAGAAAGGAGACTGTATGAGGGCGGTGAAGTGGATGAGGATCAACTGACTAAGTGCTTAATCGACTTATTCTTTAGCAAACCTGGAGACTTACTGTGTGACAGACGGACTGATGCTTGCTGGAGTGTGTGTTCGCGGCTGAAGTGTGTGTGTGTTTGGTGAGGAGGTCCAGCCAGTCCTGTAGATCTTGCTGACTGTTACATGCCACCTGCATTCGTTCACCCTGGCCACCTGCACGACAAGCACACACATAAAAGCAAATATATAAATGTACAGGCAAACAGGCAGAGGTCACACAGATAAAGCTTTCTTACACTTTGTCTGACCACTGACTGTTTCTATTTACAGTAAGCTAGTGACTTACTATTATATTTCCTCCTATAACGGCTTTGAACAACACACAGAGAAAGGGCACTGGTTTAAATGACATTATAAAGAAGTGGAAACCTAAGCATAGTCAATAGAAACCTGCCTGTGCATACCAAATTCCACTTGTTAGCTTTCAGGTATCCAGTGTACTTCAGTGACAGTTTGTTAACTCACAACATAGCTAACATTAATCACATTACTTGCTGTGTCGTTGTTCGCACTACATCGTGGTACTCTCCAGAATCGCTTACCCCACCTTTAAAGGGAAAAGGGTCTGTTAGCTGAATGAGAGAGGGGGCTGACCAGATATTTCAAAAGCGTTCTTCAGGTTTTCTCCGTCTTCTATTCTGGAGATGAGCATTCCTGCCAGCGGCATCCTCCCCTGCAGAGACACACAGTGTGTAAATTCGTGGACCAGAGACCAAACCAGTGCTTGTTGGGAGTTTTTCAATTGCAACATTTGTAATAGTATTTTTTTACTGCACAAGAGCGTGCCTTAAGGTTATACAGAGATCATCATTTAAGTTTCGTGTCATGTACTGTAAATACCTGATAGATGAATCCACTCATCCTCAGACTGGCAGAGAGCATGAGCAGAGTGTGAGGGAAGAGGACGAGGTAGCGTTCATTAAACTCCTGAAAGGCAAAAGAATTTACCTTTTACATACCATTTCATAATCACTCAAACTCAGCAGTCATTGTGGTTCTGAATGCAACCTCAGGGTCCAGTTACACCATGCCATTTTGGGTCAATTGATATGAACTTTCATCAAAAACAGTCTGAAAATGTGGTCTTACAAATGGTACTGATATATGACTCATTTGTGGTGAGAGAAGAATGTATCTGTAATTTTACCTGACAGTTCTGAGTGTGGACTGTGGCTTGGGACATGTGGAGAACAGGGCCAAGGGTTCTGATGTCATCCCCTTCCCAATTCCTGATTGGCTCTGTTAAAATCTGCAACTCCAGGTCCTTCTTCTTCCTCACCTCCAGACATTGAGCCTGAACACACACACACACACACACACATTCAAAGGCACATAAATGCACAATGTTGCCTGTCAGTAGGTATGATTACACATAAAGGTCAGGAAACTGAAAAACATGAGCTACTGTGTGCATCCTTCAGTATTAACAGAAGAAAGTCATCCCTCCTTTCCAGAATACATTGATAATTACAAGCAATTGTTTTGTCTGTTATTAGAATACAATCTGATGTGAGTTACAATAGTGACTGAAAAAAACTGAAACATCTTTCTAAAGCAAAGCATATTAAAGAGAGCTTACAGTGTGAATAAAGACACACATTCAAACCTGTGAGACTAACTAATCATGTAAGATCAATATGTAACTACAATACATGTGGGTGTGTGTTTGTATCTTACTGCAAAGCTTTTAAAGGCCGCCATGCAAGCAAGGAGATCAGGCCTGTCAGGATGTTGGTCCTAAGACAAAGATAAAGATAAAATAAAACATAGAAAAAACGTTGGAAGGAACATTTTTCAGATCAGGATCAGATCACACTGTTCACTCAGTTTATTGCTATTGTATTTAAAGGAGAACTGTATATGCACAGATTAAAATAGAGAGCCTTTTGTGGACAATAACAATTATTATTTTAAATTCAAGTTAACCTCCATGTGTCTGTCCAGTTCCTTCAGCAGTGTTGGGTATCTCTCCAGTCTGGTGAAGGGTTTACTCAGACTAGTGGTCAAAGTCAGGATCCCAGGAGTGGACGCCCCCTTTGACTCCATGTACTCCCCCAGTTCCTCACTATGGTGCACACACACACACACACACACACAAACATACACGTTTTCTCTTTTGTTTGGTTTTGTGGTTTAAATATGCTCCTGCAAACACAGTACATGTGAATGTACCTGTGTTGTGTGAGTACGTTCACAGCAGACGGGTGGGTGGAGCAGTAGGCCACATAGATGATCTTCATCTGGGGCATCAGACTCAGGAAGAAGCCCCCAATCCTCTGCTGGCTCTCTGGGAGTCTACACACACAAATTACACGTTAGACTGGATAATAACTGCCACTGTTGCCATTTAATCACACATAAAAAAAATACATTAAGAAAAGATCAGATACATTTGGAATCTCTAACTAGGAAACAACATTCACATCAAGACCATAAAGGTTCCTGATAACTGAGGAGTTTGTTGATAAGTTTTTATTATTTCTTTATTACAAATCTTACAAACTTGAACTCAAACACATGAATTGTATTTTCTTGACCTGCTGCATCTCAGGCAAACACATTATTACCTCAGTCTACCACTAGATGTCTCTGTTGCTTTAATAACTGACTACACTGAGCTCGAACTGAAGCTGGAGGATGTATCAGTAGTTAAACAGAATGTTAGCAAGAGCAGATCTTCAAGGATTTGTGCAGATTTCCGAAAGCAAAGTTAAAAACTCTTTAAGGTTAATCTTCTGCATGTAAGAAAACTATAACAAGAAACTGACCCACTAACTAACAAGACTTAATTGAAATTACTAAGAATATTTATGTAATGGAGAAATTAACCGTTTCTTTAAAGCTGCATGTAAGCAGATTTCAGTAATATTGGGCTCTATGGATACAATTCTTTAGTGTCACTGAACACAAATATTAGATTTTATACATTTCTTTAGAATGTAAGTAAAAAACTAAATAACCTCCCTACCTTGTTATCATATCAGAAAATGAATGAATGTGACGTTTTTTTCATGCTATAAACAAGATGCCTTATTACAGTCTGTTCCCACCATCTCTGTACCATTTGTATTTTTTGTATTTGTTCTTGTTATATATGTTTTATTTTGTTGTTAATTCTTTCCTTTTTTCTCCTACAGTTTATGCATATGTATCTATAAAAACTAAATAAAAACTACTGGTGACAGAAATAGAAATTAATACCAATAAAATAACATTAAATAAAAGTAACAAAATGAATATACTAAAATAATCAATTTATAATTTCAATAAGTCAATACGGTAATTACTGTCAACTAATAAAAAAATCGTTTAAAGTCTCTAAACAGTAATTTAAGTACCACGTGGTGCAATAAACCTGCTGTTACCTGCTGTATCATGGTGAAAATACTACTGCAAAAACTGCTTTTGACAGCTTCTAATGTTTAATATATATTTTATACTAAACGGTTAATACTGTAAGCCTGACTTTCATAGATATCCCTATGAGATTACAGCATTGCATTACAAGAAAGGCCCGTTTTAGCTAGTTACTATTACTATGTGATATAATCAAATACATGTGTATAGTTTATAACACTTTTAGTTCATCTGTAGCAGGCAGAAAGAGATTGGTGCACTGACTTTGTATGCTCTTCCAAGGACTGAACCAACATCTGCTGGAAGGTTGAGATCTCTTCCAGATTTCCCTGAATGTGACTGATGTCAACACTGCTGAGTCTGCAAAACAGAAGAGAAGAGAGGAGAGGAGAGGATTCTATTCATTATTAATATATGTATTCAATATAGGATACAGTATATGTGGTACTGTATATAACAGTGTGCATATGATATAGACAGTATTTGTGTGTGATACAGTACATGTGTGTTCTTATATTCTGTAAAATTGAACAGATTATATTGGTCTTGCAGATATGCTAGTGTGTGTGCCACTACATCTCAAATTCAACTCACTGTTGAATAAAAGAATAAAAAGTGTAAAAATAACTCCACCTGTCTGTGGGGTGAAGTGAGCGAAGGTACGAGCCCAGGAGACTCTGTAGCTCCCTTGAATATTCAGTCTCTGCTTCCAGGATGTTTTGTAGGACCTGACAGAGACATGATACACATATTCACACGCACACACGCACACAAACACACACACACAAACTTAATTACGATCAAGGATATAAAGAATATTATGGAAAAATGATATGATAGCACTTTTAAGATTGCAGTACTGTATGCTTGGGCCAAAAAAAATCCCTATAACTATAACATATGTCTAATGGGTTCAATTATTTTCATAATCTATTAATTGTTTGAGCCACCTTTTCAACAAAAAGAAAGAACAAAAAAAAAGAATTGTTCTGTTTTGTATAATGGCAAACGGAATATATTTGAGTTTTGGGCTGTTTTACAGACATTTGTCGACTGTGATGGGCTGTCTAATACTGTAGACCAATTGATTGGTCGGTTAGTCAATAAAAGAATTGGTAGATTAATGGGCAATGAAAATATATTTATTTAATAATTGTTCGGTAATCCAATGAATCCCTGTAGGCAATAAAATAACCAATTACATGTGAATTACATTATCTAAATGTAATATATTATTCCAAATATCCTTTGTTATTGTTATCACAGTGGAATATATTCATATTTTGGAGTAGATATAGTGGAGTACTTTTGGCACTTTCTATACAAATGGGTTAGAAATGTGAGTATCTGAATGTGTACCCAAAGTCAAAAGGAGCCTGTAAGCTGTTGGCTTTTGAGTGGGAGATGCATTCTGTAATGAGCTAATGGAGAGCGATATCAGACCCTATGGGAGCTATAACACTGGCTCGAGTAGATTTCCACGGGTGTGACTCCACAGGCTAACCGGCTAATCTCTCCACAACATCAGAAACCTCTCAGGAACGAGGTTTTTGGTAATGAATTGAGACAGTAACACATGTTGCTGTGTCTCCCCTCAGAGGAGGAGGTAGTAAAAAAAAAAAAAATCAGCTTGAAGCAGCTCCAATTATTTATCTATAATACATATTTATGTATTCGCTGTTTCATCAAAAATGCATGTGTATGAATACACGAAGAAGATGGCAGAACATGATGAAAATATTGGTATTTTCAAACAAAAGCGTGACCTTTAACAGACTACACAAACACAAACACAAAGAACAACATAAACAACACAAGCTTCTGTTCTAAAGCTTTTTGGGGAAGCTCCATTAGAATACAAATAAAGAAAAACGTCTTTATATTTTGCATTTCTGTCTGGGAACAGCTTTGACTTGAGGCAGGGTCTCTGAGTGAGCGAGAGACAGAGACTCAGGGACCCCCAACCAAAGATGGACTGTCTGGAGAGACTGCTGGAGCTTGTTGCATTATTCAAACACACACAGACACTCACACACACACATATACACACACACACACACACACACACACACACTGGCAGAAGCCAACCCTGAGGCAAGGCTGCCCCAATTCAACACACACAGACACTCACACACACACATATACACCACACACACAAACACAACACACTGGCAGAGCCAACCCTGAGGCAAGGGTGCCCCAGAACCATTGGAACGGAAAAAATAACCTAGATTACATTGCTTGCCACTCTTACAACACACACACACAACACAACACACTCCACACAGATGCAGGTGGTGCCATGCAGGGCTCAAACGATCACATGCTTATGACACACAACACACAGTAACAATCATAATTGGATGAATTAGATGGAAACTAATATGATTTTAACAGTCCACAAGATGAACACACATTAACCATCAGTCTACCTTAGAATACCAGAAGAGTTTATAGAATAATTCCTTGCCATAAAATGCCACATCTAACATGTAGTGGTACTCAAATCAAAAGCCGCCGAATTACAGTCCATCCGTAGCTATTGTGATAGAAGGAGAACATGTAGAATGTTCTTTGATTTCCATGATTGGTACAGTTTAGTTAATGCAGTTTAACCAATGGCATGCAAAGAATACGAAACGACGCGCAGGGGTTTCTGCAGAGTATGACGGCTCACCACATTGTAGTATGTCTGCTGATGATAGTGGGTGTCGGAAACTTTGGGGGCTTTTCGCAGTGTCCCAGACTTTGGCTCTGTCTGATGTCTTGTCATAAAGGAGAGAAAGCGGGGGATTTAGGAACAGTTCAAGGTGTTAGTTGCGATCGAGTTACATTCCAGTTACACTTAAGTGTTGGAAAAGTTCCTTTTAGGAACATGTTTGCTCTCGTCTGTTAGTCAACCGTTATTACAATGATAAAAAGTGTGTGACCCTATAAAACTCAAACCTTTCTGTAAAAGCAGAATACGAAAACAAAAATGTCACATTCACCGTTCATTTGTCTTACGAGGAATCCTAGAAGGGCATTTAAAGAGCGCCAGACCTCCACCAAGTAATCGTTCCAGTGGCGGAGGTAAAAATCAGATTCTCGTGGATGGACAACTATTCTCATCAATAAAATGACATGAAAGAATGTTTATTTATGGAAGTTCCAACATTTCTGGGGAGGCAACGTGCTGTGCATAATTCTGTACAAAATGAGGACAAGCACATGATTGAATGCTTTAATTTACTGACTCACAATGGCAATGTCTTTTCCCGTCCAGTTATTGTCTTACATAGTCGGCAATAATAACGCATGCTGTCATATCCTTCAGTTTCACTATGTCCTTTGGAGCAATGCAATAAAGCTAGAAGCTTAATTTTGACTTTTTTAGACCTATCAGGACTGAATAAGAGAAAGTAAAGAGCTTACTGAGCTGTATCTTCGATAATCAGGATACTATGAAAGATTTAAAGAGGTATCTTTACCGTAGGATTTGTAAACTAAGTCCAAAGACTGCTCTATTGTGTGCATCTTTCTTTATGAGTCTGAACTGAGTCTGAAATCAACAAACCGATTTACAAAACCAAGACAACAGGCGCGTGGCAGCTTCCAATTCACCACTGTTTACTTGACAAAAAATCACCAGCTAAGTCCTCCAGTGCAGCTTATCTGCTATCTCACACATCAAAACTCACCCTGGCTATAAGAGTCTACCATTCCTCCCTGTTATCATGGTCCTTGTTTTTTACAAGCTTTATCAGGAAGTGAGATTCTATAGCAGCAGTCTTGGAACTTCCTGTCTTTGTTTGACTTGCGGATCTTCCTTCCTTCGTTCCTGCCTCCCTCCTCAGAAAAACAGACCGACACAATCAAACAAGCCTGGAGGATCTTTATGAGCACAGGGAGGCATGCATTTAGGCCTCATTGAGCTCAGCAGTGACAGGTTTGAAAAATAAGAGAAAACCTGCAGATCCAAATACTTTATGACCTTTATCTCAAGTCTTTAACCAACTACAAACAACCAGTATTACTCACATTATCTGTTTGAAATAACAATTAGTTTTATGAGTAAATCTTTTTGACAAGAATCAATAAGTTGAAGATTAAGTTTTATTGGTTGTCTATGTATAGTTTGCTCTCTTCTTCTTATGTATCCCACACATCATAGAATATGGTTGATTTAATGCTTTCCTATTAACCTTATCCTCATTTGTATACGGCTTCCTTCTGTCAGATCTGGCAAGTGAGTCACTTTTTAGATCACTTACTCGGTAGACGAGTGCAGAAGTCTGTTTGTGTGTGCTCTGTGTGCGTTTTGTCTGGTGTCAAGCTTTGAGATCAACATATTGGTAGGTGAAGTTACTGGTGGTAGACCGGTATGTGTGATATTGAGCGGGGGTCTTAAGTTTACCTCATAGGCCTAACGCGAACCTTGGTGTACCT